ATTATATACACTGACAGGTGAGGCATTGAGCTATGGGTGCAGTGGGATCGCCTTAGCCATTTCGTCCAGTGGTCTGCCACAGGCGCCAGTCATTCTGTTTGGAAATGAGGGCCAGAAAAGGGAATATTTGGGACGAATGACCGGTTCGGAGGTGTTGTGTGCGGCCTATTGTACGACAGAACCGGGCGCTGGCAGTGATGTGGCGGGTGTTAAGACACACGCCGTCCGGAATAAAGACGGAGACTATGTTCTCAACGGCCAGAAGATGTGGATCACTAACGGAGGGGTCGCCAACTGGTACTTCGTGTTGGCGCGCACTAACCCCGACCCAAAAGCACCCCCGAGTAAGGCGTTCACGGGTTTCATCGTTGAGGCCAACAGCGCGGGTGTAGTGCCCGGACGTAAGGAAGACATGTTGGGTCAGAGGGCGTCCGACACCCGGGGCGTCACCTTTGAGAATGTGGTCGTCCCTAAGGGTAATGTGTTGGGCGAAGAGGGTATGGGTTTCCGTATAGCTATGGGTGCGTTCGATCTGACGAGAGCGCCGGTCGGTTGCGGAGCCGTGGGTTTGGCTCAGCGGGCGTTTGACGAGTCCGTCAAATGGTCTTTCGAGAGACACACGTTTGGTGTGCCTATCCGTGAGCACCAGGCCATCCAATTCATGTTAGCGGATATGGCCATCGGTATCGAGACGTCCCGTATGGCAGTGCAGAGGGCCTGTTGGGACTACGACACCGGCAGGAGGAACACCTACTGGGCCTCTATAGCCAAGTGTTGGGCGGGAGATGTGGCCAATAAAGCGGCCGCAGATGCNGACACCGGTAGGAGGAACACCTACTGGGCCTCTATAGCGAAATGTTGGGCGGGAGATGTGGCCAACAAAGCGGCTGCAGATGCGGTACAGATCTTCGGCGGCGCCGGTTTTAATAAGGAGTATCCGGTGGAGAAACTCTTGAGAGACGCCAAGATATACCAGATCTATGAGGGAACCGCTCAAATCCAACGCATTATCATTGCCCGCGAATTGCTTTCTGAAGCCAAAAAGACTTTATAATCTCATAAACGAGAGAATTATATCATTATTATATATTATATTATAATGTATATTTAATATAGGTACTATATTATACTGTATGAATGACATATTAAAGTAAACATTTTTATCTCAAATATCATTAGCCGATAAAAATTTCTTTTTTATAAAAAACATTTTAAAATTATAACTTAATATTAAATCTATCATAGTACTGTAAACCCGAATATGAAACATTTTTTTCAAGAATTTTATAAGACCTATAATATTTATACTACTTCTATTGTACAGTACCGTATAATAGACTGTTTGTAGGTATAATCCATAGACTGAAAGGCATAATCTATAGCATCCTTTCCCTATAGCTCTTAAATCACGCTATTGTGTGCATTGAGCGAGAAGTCCGCACGCAATCATACCTTATATTAGATAAAGTTCTCAAATAAACAATACATTTATTACTTAAACACAAACATAAATAAACGATAAAACACAAAACCATTCATTTTGACCACAAATATAATAATTGAATAAACAAACTAAATATAAGTGTCTTATATAACTGTAATGCCATACTCACTAGAATTATGTTTTTTATTATTTCAAATTGGAGAGAGAGAGAGAGAGAGAGAGATTTATGGATATACAATTCATTTTGATTAACTTTTATAATCTGAAAACTTGAATATTAAAAAATTTCAAATAATGTATATACTACTTTTATCATTAGATTTAGTCAATTAATTAACTTGATATTATGAATAATTTATGAAATCAATTACAGAATCTGGATTACAAAACAATAAATATAATAAATTTTGGTAATTCAATTCAATTCAATTGACGCAAACGCTGTAATGAGTTCACTCTAAGACTACAATTATAGGATTTTTCGTTTATTTCATAGTATAGTATAAATATACTATACTCTTTAACTTTTTATTTCACATCAACTCAAAACATTACTATACAGTATATTGACGTAACATATTATATAAGGAATATTTATACAGTTCATATGAAATATCTATAAGAAATTTAAATGGTGAATTGTCATACAAATATATAGTTAACATGTTTGGTTGTGTATGATTTGAAAGCCATATATTCACGTTTTAAAAGTATTAGCTCTTCATTTAATAAATAAGTTTTCTGATACTTCAATTTAAATTAATCAAAACACTTTTATTTTATAAAATTTAAACAATATTTTGATTGTTAAGTAATAAGTTTATTTTTCTCCTTGTTTATTAGTCTCACTGTTTGTCATCTGTCAAAGTTATTTCAACTTATATGGTATATTGTTACTGGTTCATTTGTTATTTAACCAATCCTTAATATTTATTATAAGTAATAACCATTCGTACAAGTGATCATTAAAACATTTATACGGTTACACAGGTGAGTTTGAATTTTTATTCACATATTTTCATATCAGACATTATATTAAAGAATATAATGATTATAAATTTATATCGATATATTATTTTTATTTGATTTTAATTTGACAATAAATATTTCGAATTTTAGATTTTATATATTTTGTGAAATTCAAACACATTTATCAAATCTTGATTAAATAAAATTTGAAAAAATCTTCTGGTTATATTACAAGATAGGTACTACCTTTAAGGTAGTTACAGATATCAAAATAATAACATTAATAATTCCCACGATTTTTATCCATAACATACAGTATAAAATCCTATTGACAAAAATGATTTATCAGTCACTATTACAAATGTAATTTTATTATCAACACTTTCCCTATCATATGCATACAAGTTATATAATATAACGGATTACCTCTAAGGTTAATGTTTTATCTTCCATTACCTCCATTGCATCTAGTCCATTTTTGGACTTAATATTTAAATTAATGAGGTTCTTAAAATTTATGTCATCAAACTTTCAGAATATGATATAATAACTTTATTATCAAATCGTAAAATGTCCAAATTACTCGCTAATAAACGAAATAATGTTAATATTTGACAACCCAAGTCTTTTTCAAAATCCTTGTAAGTTATGTAAAGAGTGATTTATTTCAAACTAAGGATTACCTTTAAAAAATTAATATATTAAATCAATGAATATATAATAATACTGTATATGAAAAGTATACCAAAATGTTCATAAATCATGAATGCCATAAAATGTTTAAATGTGAGGACATATTTCAAAAACGAAGAGATCCTTGGTTTGAAATGAATCGCTCTTTATATATATGTAGAGAATCTTTTGTAATAAAAATTTAAATTTAATTAAATGTTATGGATAAATTTAAATGTTATGGATAAATAATAAATTGATTTTTATTTAAACTAAGAATTGTTAATTGTAATATTTTAAATTTAACGTTTCGAAATGTTCAGCAAGCTTAATACTTAAATCCAGTAATAATAGAGAATAAACATTCTAAATGTGAGTAAAATTTAAATGATTAATTTTGAATTGTTTAATTGCTAAACAGCATTAATTTCTATGCATATTTTGAAAAGCAATTTCAAAAAACAAATCATTTAGTCTTTTTACAATTACTAATTCTTTTCATATATGAAGTCTGGAATTCTATGATTTCAGGAATTCTATGATTCTGGAATTCTACAAGGTACAGGGTAGAATCTTCAGATTTCCCATAGATAGTACTTTAATATTAAATTGTAGATCTCCATTGCCAGCTTATTATCTTATTTAACCTCAATTACCACTTTTATCAGTAATTTTATCATAATAAATACGGTATAAACGTGATTATCGCGTCGTGATATATCAATTTTATAAAGAATTTTACATAGATTTGAAATATGTAAGTAAAAATTGTTAAATCTAAAATTTTAATAAATATAATGCGATTTTAAAGATTTTAAAGCAATAATCTAACCATTTTGGGTGGTAACGACGTATTTATTAATTTTGTTAATACCTTCGTATTGTACGTAAAATTCTCTGTAAAATTGATATATTACATGTTGATATTTTATATATAAAATTTCCCAATAAAAGTGGTCACTGTGGCTGAAACCGAGGCAACAGACAATATAAATTACATATTCAGGCTCAGCATTGAATGAAATTGTACGATAATTTAAAGTTTCCAATGATTACTTTATGTTCTCTCTAAAAAGTATCTGAATACCTGGGCATTCTAGCCCAGGATGACTTCCAAATTGAATAGGTTTAGACTAGGGTAGATTTTAATAAAAATAGCGTAAAAATAAGTCATTTGTATGAATGGAAATAAACAGTGAAATGAGTGGAAGAAAGTAACTTTTATAGTAATAATAACTTATTAATATAAGTAATAATAATAACTCTAATAGTAACTTTTTATAAAATTGTATTTATTTGGTGCTTGTCTCTATTTGTGGGTTTTTTCTTGACACATATGAATGTTATCATATGAGTTAGCAATACTGTATAAGAAAAGGTGACATCAACTCTATGAGTAATGTGAATAAAAAAATTCTTATAAATGTTGATTTCACTGCTATACAGAAATATATTGTATTTATACAGTGCTATATTGTAAGCAGAGTTTAAGTCCCCCTTTTATATATTCCACTTTCATATATTAAAATATTTAGAAGTTGCATGATACATTTGGAAACACGCTTTAAATGTGGGATAAAACACAGAGACTAACATTTACGGATATTTGAATTTACATGTTTTAAAATGAATTTATTCATTGACTACAGCATATTATACTGTACCAATATAGGTAGTCTAATTCAAACATTAATTTATAAGGAATATTTATAAGATATTTATTAACACATAAATGTATTAAATACAGTATAAGAATATTTAATATATTTAATAAAGCCTGATGTTAGTCATTAAAATTTATTATATACAAATAACTGCATTATAAGTTTATTAATAACTTATATGTAAATGGAGACTATTCCTTATTTATGATTATGGCTTTATGATTAACAAAGCAGACCATATAATGTATAAATATATGCATTTAATTAATAAAATCATATTGTATTGAATGGGTGGGTTGGGTGGATTGGGTGGGTGTTAGAAACATGAGAATTTTCTACAATATCTGCTTGTACAGTATGAAACATTATTGATACATCTTAAAATGCATTTTAACTTGAAATTTTTAATATAAATTGTTTTTTGATGTAGAAAATCATTTTCTATTTATTTATAAGATTTATTTGTTTACATTCTAATTTAATTTTTATGTTTTAAAATTTATTTAAAATATAGATTATTTTCAAAATAAATATTACATTTAGCAATATGTACAGCGTTTTACAATTACTGAATAAATAAACTATAAATGTGACCAAAATATGAGTTTTCTATTATCACTGCAAGTATTTTGCATTTCACAGTAAGTTTCGTATATTGTATGCAGACTTGATGTAAGCCCACAAATGGGTATGACAAATTATGAAAATTAAATAATTTATATTTTGAAAATTACTTTGACATTAAAATACATAATAACTTAAATAGCCTACTTTTTATAATATGAACGATACCTAACTAAACATAAAGGATTTCTTTATTGAGACAGTAAATGTATCAGTGTGAGAATTCAATTTTACACAATACAATTTATACGATTTGGTTTATTGATTATCACTTTGTTATTTATATATATATATATATAGTATACCATACTTATGAAAAGCTAATTTTATATTAAATTCTATATTAAATCCCTACATACTAAAATTTAGGGATTCAAACTAAATATTTAAATATTGAAAAAAACCTACATTCTTACGAGCAAGTTTTTTTTGAACTTTTTTATTATATTAGTGTATGTATTTGGATTTATTAGTAAAATGAAATGGCATTTCATAAATTATATTAATTTAAAAAGTTTTAGGTTAATCTAATCAAACAAAACAGAATATATAATTTTGATTATAAATAATTCTTTAATAATTCTATTATTATTAGCTTTGATTTGCGAAAAGTGTTGTTAAACTACATAATAATAAAACAATAGACGAATTCATATAATAATGTACTCAACAAACGTCAAACACAATGAAAGGATGTGCTCCAAACATATGGCATTCATCACAAAAGCATTCATACTGTTTACTATTGCTTTCACATTAATTGATGCTCAGGAGGAACAGGTATTTATAGCATAATTTGTGTCAAATAACAAACTACAAAAACTCTTTGAATGAAAAGTTTTGCAAAGAAAAAGATAAACACTTAACAGTTAGTACTGAAAAATTTTAAACCTATAGAAGACATATACAGTTGAAGTGAAATCAATAAAATGATTTTCAGTGAACATATTCTGTACGTAAAGACTCTATACTAAAGATAGTATTGAATGAATGAAATACTTATTTTACTCTTCAATGAATGTTTGATTTGAAATAAAGGTTTAGAGTATTGGCTCCATTGGGTTGCCCTCACATAAGTAGACATATTTTATATCAATCAATACTTATTTTTATAGTTTTAAGCTTAATATAAATTTATATTTTTGACGTTAAAGTTATAATATTTTAATCTCTCAATCATTTTAACGAATAAGTGATTATAAAAGTTATAAAAGAAATAAATGTTAGGTTTTATGTGTAATAATTTTAATGAACCCACATATGATGATACAATTACAAATTACGATTTATATATATTATTTGTTACAAGTACTGTAGCTCTTATGTAAGAATATTGCTAAAAGTTAGTCACAATAGTAGACAAATGGCAGATAAATGTTTTTACAATGTAATTAAACATTACAAACAATATACTTGTTTTGAATACAGATAGGAGACACAGGTTTGGGTGAACTCATAGATCTAAAGCGTTCAGCGTTTTTGCCGTCTCGGGGTCGCAGGTTTTGGTCAATGTTTGACTGGAATGACAGCACGAGTGGAGAGAAGAGAATGTCGAGATTCCTACCAATGAGGGGACGAAAGGCCGGCTTTTTGCCGATGAGGGGCAAGAAAATGAGTGCCAATCCATTGAATGACGAGTGGACACACACTCATCCACTCTATGACAACACCGACAATACCGGTACATATGATATGATGGCATCCATTCCCCTCAAAAGAGCGGCGTTTATGCCCTCGAGAGGGAAGAAAGCATTTCATGCGATGCGCGGAAAGAAATGGTCGCCAGAAATGGTTTCGGATGTCAGTTATTATAAAGATTATAATAACCGTAATAATCATAATAATGCTGTCGAATACCCTTTACTGTCTAATAATCAAAGACCTAATGTTTACCATTTTATAAGATAAACATTTCAAACAATTGTAGACTTTATTTCTAAATGTATTCATCTGTACTCCACTTTTCATTGTTAATTTGTTTCATTATTTCCATATACTGTACACTATTTATTATTATTATTATTATTATTATTATTAAGTTTATAGTAGTTTATAGTATTATTACTTAAAATATATCAAAACATATAATTTTGTTGACCATAATTGCCCAGGGTGGTATAGGTGTATGAAGTCAAACGGGAGCAGTCACTATGAATTGCAATTTGCAAAGAATGTCTGTACAGTATTGTAAACTATATGACACCAATATACATTAATTTATTAAAATAAAAGTCACAAATAGTGTTTACGTATTACTCAGAAAAAGTTATAAATCTTAACTTTTAAATGTAAAAATAAGTTGAATCAAAACCATGTGACTCTTTAAATGACAACTGACCTTCGTTGTAACTGATGTCAAATGTGTTATATCATGAAATTTTACAGTAAATTTTACATGTAAAATTAATTACAATTGACTGGTCAACTAGTGGTAACTTATATCCAATGGACTCACTTATATTCATTACTTATATTACTGTAAATATCACTGTAATTAGCAATAACATCTGTGCAGTAAGTACATTCAAACATCTTAAAAACTGCTAAATTAAATTAACTACCGGTAATAGAACAGTATTTTTAGAAAATATAAGCACAATGTAAAGGTTGAATTGAATTTATTCATATTTAAAGACCCTGTTCACTCAACCGAAGCTGATTTACAGTGAGAGAGTCTATTAATTATATAAATTACAATTTTATAAAATGTTGAAAGATTTGCGATCTATAATAGAATCTGATTATAATCTAGAACCCTGGGCAATTAAATCAATTATTTATTTATTGATATATTTATTTAATTTAAGTATTGTTTAAAATTATAAATAGACCAATACAAATATCTTGTAAGTAAATATTTTATTCATTTAATTCTTGAATTTTATTTAAAAATATTTTTGAATCTGAAAATATTAAGATAATTATTTCTAGTAATAAATTGAACCAAATTGTTTTTGGTATACAGTTTAGAAATTTTCATTCGTTTGTAGAAATTCTTGAAAAGATTTTGTTAATAAAGATGCTTTCAATTTGAAATGATTGTTTATTAATTATTAATTATTATGATAGTATAGTTCTATCATTTATTTTACTCACTGATATAGCTTGGATGGTTAAGTACTACCGTAGTATTAAATTTAAAAATTAATGGACAAATAGACAATAATTAGGAATGAAAAATAATGTAATTAAAAGTAGGTATTATAAATAGTGGCTATGTGTATGACTGTGATTAATACAAAACTTATTCACTATTTTAATCAGTTTTTGGTTTTCAATATTTTAATCCTTTATAATAATTTTAAATAAATATTCAATTGATAAAACAGTCAAACCTTTATTAATCGATGAAAAAATATATTATGAATAATAAAATTTGCAGAGTAATCAACAAATTTAAAGAAAATTGTAATAAATAGCCACAATTTTATCAAATGAGTATTTATATAAACGAATATTCATATAAAATTATAAAGAATTAATATTTTTGAAAATCAAAACTGATTAAATTAATGAATGTGTTTTTATGAATCACATGGATACATGGATACACTTAGCCCAGTTATAAAAGCCCACTTTTATCCGTATTTATTGCATTCCTAACCATAATCTACATGAAGTAAGCCTTAGATTTGTGAAATAAATTGAATGACAACTTCGGGTCTAAACCTCTATCTCATAATATTTGTTGTAAATCGTGAGGACTCTGGTCTGACTCATCACATCCCCGGCCATAGCCTTTTCTTTCAGTTTTAAACACAGTTTACAAATTAATGTATCTTGAGTAATTTAGAGATTACAGTCAAATATGTGAGTAGTTTTTTAAAATAAGTGACTTTCATTTAAAACCTTGTTATCTAGGTGAATTCAAATAAGAAAAAATATATCACCAAGTACTACATTCATCTGTTGCTAAGTCCCTAAAGACACCCATAAGTTTAGATAACCCAGTTAACTTTAATTTAAAATTTACAAAAGTTAATAGTTAGCATAATGATGGTATATTATTTATATATATAATATAAAATATATTGGTATATTATAAAATTATAATCTAATGATTATTAAAATTATATATTTTCCGAAATAATAGTTTTGAATACAATGAACATTTAATATGAAATGTATGTCTAATACACAACGGTCCATGAATAGAGTAGATAAATTAGTATACAGTACATCGTATATAATTGATACTGCTCATAATCAATGAATTCTTATAGGGTTTAAGAAATGAGGCCAACTGTCCACTCAATGTTCATCCCATTCCTACTAATATACGATGACGTATAACGAGTGGGTTTAGCCATAAGTGTTAATCGCTATTATGTCTGACATTTATTTTATTGTATTTACTTAACCCTCATTTATAACACTTGAAATCCAATTCATTTATTAATTTAATCCCTAAATTAGTCTAAAAAATAATATAATTTATAACTATTTGACTTTATTTGTATTTGACATTCAATATATTACACACGACTTACGTATACTTTTTAAAATGTTATACTGGAGTTACCAAGTACAGTACAGTACAGTACAGTATATTTAGGTTTCTCTCTTCTCATGAAAAAATATTTATTAGAAAATTCTGAGAATTACATTATACTAGTAATGGTGCGGTTTGTGAAACACCTCAGATCTACTTTTTATTCAATATTAAAGCAAATTGCTTAATTTGTAAATAAAATACTATTTAATTTATTTATAATTAACATATTTAATTGAATAATATTTATTTATTTGGTTATTTAATCCTGTATAATTTATTGTTAGGCTTAATTCAAATCATTTGGTCATGTATATATTAATATTAATAATAATAATATCATTACTGTTTGAATTACATATACGTATGTACCTGTGGTTTGAACAACCAGGAGTCCATATGTGCTTTTGGAAAACACTTTAGTGACAATAGTAAAGCATAGAAGTAATATGAAAAGCATTAGATTCACAACTTACTCACTTTACTCATTTATACAAATATATTATATTAAAATGTTTAATCGTAAGCTATAAATTTAAAGATTATCACTACATTACTATATTTTCTATGCTTTACGATTGTCAACAAATTGTTTTCAAAAATATACTGACAATGCGGGGTCATCGGCTGTACAATTCTTAAATAAATAAAACCTACATGATTATATAGGTTTACCATGCTAAATTAAGAATATCAGGGTCCGATAATCTATGGGAAGGTGGTCTGGTCATAATCCAGTGGTTAAGTTTCCGATAATCGCACAATTTTCAATTTAATTGAATAATATTTATTTATTTGGTTATTTAATCCTGTATAATTTATTGTTAGGCTTAATTCAAATCATTTGGTCATGTATATATTAATATTAATAATAATAATATCATTACTGTTTGAATTATAAAGTGGATCAATAAGTTCTGCAACGATCATTTGTTTAATAGCTCGTTTATTAATTGTACCTAAAATCTATACTCTGGCACACTTATAGTTCATTATCAGGTAGCCATGAAAAAACAAGAATATTCTGTGTGACATCAAGAATATTCTGTGATAATGGATGATATACTGGACCCATAGTCAGCGCATAGATTG